TTATATGAATCTAATAAAAACTCAATTTTCAAAAAATTGTAAAAAAGGGCTGTTTTAATAGATAACACCCCATATTACAAGTTTTAACTTGCTTTGTAAATCTTTTATCTAATTATAAACTTCTTTTTCAAATTTAAAATATTTTGATAGTTTTCATGATTTAACTTTCTAATATAAGATGAAATATGCATCAATTTTTTCTTTTTATTTTACCAATCTCTAACTTGTTTTGGTTCTATATTAAAATTTATTACAATTGTAAAAATACTTTTACTAGGATGTTTTTTAAGAAAAATAATAACTGCAAGCTTTTTATAAACATTTCAATGTTGCTTTTTCTTTTGAGTAATCTGAGCAAACTACAATTTTTATTTTCATGTACCATGTTGAAATAAAGAAAAAAAACTTAAAAAAAAAATTTATTTATCATGATTTAACATTGGCATTAGCATTAATATATTTTTTATTTCTTTAAAAGTAAACTTCACATGTTGTATGTATTGTAATCAGTGTTTAAAATTACCTTGCACAAGATGCACATGTGCAGATTATTTTTTTTTGTGCAAGAGAAGGTTTAAATGTATATACACAAGTGTGCAATTAAATTTAAATAAGGAGCTTGCACAAAAAATAACATGCAAGAGAAATTATAAAATTTTACTGCACAAAAATTTAGTATAAATATAAAATATGAGATAGACAATGATAATATAAAAAAAAAAATATCCAAAATATTCTGAAAATTGGCTTCACTCAGAGATAATAAATATGTGCATATAAAAATAAAATTTATATCACATGTGTGCAACTAGTAGTCGGTTTGTGTAATTAAAACCTATGACACAACTGCATTTGTGCAAGTAGGTTTCGATCTGAATTTAAACACTGATTGTAATACGTATCTTCATTTCACCGACAATCACTAGCCAACACTAATTATAAAATGGCCAACCCTAACCAAAAATCGGGCCAAAATTGTCGGCGAGAAGAATTGTCGTGAAAATAGGCTGTCGGAGAAATGGTTTCAGGAAAGTGGGCTGTCGGAAATAGGTTGTCGGTGAAATGGCCGTTGGCGAAATGGGTGTCGGGTAAATGGTTGTCGGGGAAATGGGTTTATACCTTTATAAAGTACCCCCTTACAAAATACCCCATACAATATACCTCCCCTCCCGTAATTAGTACCCGGGTACTATTCAAAAAATTTGATGGTTTATTGAATGTATTTGGGTCATTTCTAAAGTCGCTGACATTAGAATATCAAATAACATAGCATGACGTAATAGGACGTATTGGCGTGACGTATTACGTTATATGACATAAAGGTGACGTGAAAAGGTAACTACCTTTGTACCGTCTAAATACCATCACCTATAGTCATTTCAGATCGTTTACCATTCCTGGCTACACCAGATGCAACAATTTCTTGAAACAATTAACCAGTAAGCATTTAATTTAGTTGTGGTATTTGCATATTGGATCTGAGATTGTGAAAATTTCCTTATAGATTTTATTGGATTGGTAATTTGTCTGCATAATAAAATTTAATTTTAAAGGCCCCGAGTAACATTAAACGAAATTTAAGATAATTAAATTAGAATTATTAACAAAAAGTAATAAAATTATATTTTCAAAACGGTTTATAAATGCCCGTATTGAATTTTATTTAAATTTAGTAAACTCCGATTTCATTTCTATTGCAAAGGTCATGCTTTTGATACAAATTTATGATTCCCATGATATTGATAAATTACCTAATATATCTTTAGCAATCAATTTCTAAATAATTAACCCAGACATCAAACCAATTGTAAAACATATTTAATGTAAGAACATTCTCTTTGAAAGTATATCACCAAAAAAATCAAGTAAATTATTATAAAACTAGTATATATAATAATTAAATGTGTATAAATATTGACTATTTTTGAGTTTCCTCTTCATCCTCACCAGTGGTATCGGCCAATATAGGCTCTGGTTGTGTTTTTTTATAAGCTAAAAATAAGAAAATAATTAATAAGAAGTTAGGTGCGAAGACGATATTAAAGCAATGAAATGCACTTACCGTTTCCAATCCATTGCGGATCACCTGCAAATTTAAATAATCAATTGCAATATATGCGTTATACCCTCGTTTGATAGCATCTTTTAATAATAAAAACACAAGTAATACTTACTTTGAGATACTTCCGCAAATTTCAATAAAGCCTGGCGAGGATCTTCGTCTGTGGAAATTTCAGTTCACCCAATTAGACACAAGACAGAAAAAAAAATTTAACAAAAAGTTAAATTACCTCTAGTCGTATCCTTTATCAACTCTTTCATTATGTGCTGTGTTAAGCTGCTACCAATCTTACCACCCTTACCGGGACCATTAACAGGAAGGTCTAACAAATGGAACAAAAATCGTAATAAGTAAATGCTATTTCGTGTTTGCGAGTAATTTTAATATTTACCCGGTCTGTGTGATGCAATAGGATCTTTGCGTAATTTTTCTCTCTTTCGCTTTGTCGACTTTGGTCTGTCATCTCGGAACATTGATAATGAGTGCGGTGCAATAATAGGACGATTGATCTCATAGTCGTCAATAGCCCGTTTCTTAGGCTCTTTAACAACACACAATTTGGCGCCCCGAACACTTATAACTGGATCGTAGAATACATGAACCAATCCATCCGCACTTCCGGTAACGATCTGCAAAACAAATATTGCTCATCGAAATGAAATAATAAATAAGATAATTTGTTATATAATAGTCATTCATACCTGATTGATCCTTGAATGCCATAAAACTCGAATAACACTAGATTGTGTAATACCTAATTGGGCATCATAGATTAATATTAGGCATTATAGATTCATTATATGAATTTAAAATAATGAGGAAACCTACTCATTGTACGAACAATCTCTAATGAATTACGGTCCATCATCACCAATTTTCCATAGCCTTCTCCTTTTTTGGTGGCAGTACCTACGATAAAAAAAAATTAATCGTATTAAGTGAATTAAATTACCACTAATAAATGCTGCCAAATATCCAAAAGTTTCATAAACACATTACTACATACCGGTAATAATCAATCGTTCATCAGGACTAAATATTACGTTAGTTTCTGCATTAAAAGTTGTTAATCCTTTGGCCTGGGCTACAGCATTTTTAAAATTACGCACATCCCAAACTATTCAATAAAGAAGTATAATCGGAATTACAATTTTGAATGTCATTATTAAACAGATGATATATTTATTACTAACCTTTTACACAATCATCGCCACCTCTTGTTACTATTGACAAATTATCTCTGGAAAATACTATTGAAGAAGTTTCACTATGTTGTTGATGAGCCTTTTCAATAATCTTTTAGTTTCAAAATGAGATAAGTGTATTGCATACGACTCTACAATTTATGTAATAAAAAAAAAAAAATACTTGCATGAGAAGGACGAATATAAGGGCCGTTACCACCCCATATAAAGAGGCTCCCGTCCTGTGCAGCTGAGTAACATACAAAGTTTAGCAAAATGATAAATATTGAAATAATAATAATAATAATAGCACACCTCCAGCCAAAAATTTTGAATCTGGGCTATAGCATCCTGCAGTTATAGCACTTCTTCCTCCGCGTTCTTTAGACTTATGTACAAGCACATGTTTCTGCTTGCGTTTATTTTCTACATCCCATATTCTATATAATAGATAATATGTTAGTAAAATGCTTTTAAAAAAGGTGTGGTACAATACCGTCATGAATAATACAGTCAGACCTCCCTAAATACAATTTGTATAAACAAAGCTTTTAATTACGTACATCCAGATAACGGCAGGAAAATTGCGTTTATAGAAGGTATGCATATATTTTGACTAGAGCTTGAGTTTGCAGTTGGATGCTTTTAGGAAAGGTTACATTTAAGGAGGTCGGAATGTATCATAATATCTCAATATCTCAATACCTAATTGTACTGTCAGCAGAACCAGTAAAGAAAGTCTGTCTATCATTTGGATGCCAACCCCCACATGTCAAAGCAGCTATATGGCCACTATAAGTACAATAGTATTAGAATTTTGTGATAGAAAGAGCATAGAAATAATTGTTCTGTAACATTAATTACCTTGTGTTTCGCATGTCTCTAATATAGGGATCACCCTTAATATACTCTTCACTAAAATTGAAATATTATTAAATATCTTAACAAACAGAAACTTATTATACGATGATAAACATTTACATATTCCTACATTTCGAATCCATCACGATCATAAAGCTTTGCTTGTGCGGTACCGGATATGATTAAAAATTGGTCACCACTTAAGCTGTATTCTAAATGATGAATCTATATTAACAAGTAAAATAAGTCTCAATCAAATTACCAACATCAGGAATCAAAAAATAATTGGGCTTTGTAACTAACTTGGTGATCGCCACATGGTTTAATAGTTCGAAACGGACGAAATGTAGAATCCATTCCTGCAAAATCCCAAAATTTTACATCATAATCATAACTTCCCGTAATAAGCCGTGCACCAGCAGGATCAAGGGTTAATGCAGAGACACTCTGTAGAATTAAAAGAATGGCCGGTTTTGAATCAAGTATGCTAGTAAAGAAATACAGATATGTAGTATATCCTACCCTATAGTGATCATTTAACTTAATTTCGTGCGAAATAGGTAAACTATTAGATTCGATGTCTTCTTCTTCACCCTCATCATAATTATCATCATCGTAATCTGTATCCCCGCTTTGTTCATCATCTCGATCAACACGTGAAGTCTCACTGTCCTCATCGGTATGCCTTATACGTTTATTCTTTGGTGTTGTCTGATCTGATGTGCTTGGTTTGATCTCTTCCTGCTGTACATAGCGTAAAGAGAAACTAAGAGGTCAGGTACGATATATAGGAATCAATATCAAACTCTTCCACATTATTTAATACGAATTATGAAGTAAATGCTATCTTAAATAAATAACCTCATCTTTTCTTCTCGTTTTCGAGAAAACATCCGAAGAGGCAGTTTTCTTTTTTTGTGATCCAAATGACGTCGGTAACATTGACGTTAATTCTTGAATGGAAAAAGATTCGTCATGCTAAATAAAGTAAAACAAGGTTAACTCATTGCATTTTATATATAGCTTAATGATTATTGCCGCCTCTTAGAAGAAGAGAATTAAAGATACCATTGTAAGAATTGTGTCCAATTGAAAGGTTATTTTCTTATTATTTTTGTCGTATAACGATTGAATTAAATTAAAATAAATTGGAAAACCAGTCCAGTCTTACGTAAATCTGGTCAAATTTGCCGATCTCTTATTATGGTTTTAAGACTTAAAATCTGGCCAATGATCGGCAAATTCTTTATGACATATATGCCGTCAAAAAAAGGTTACGTATTATGGTAGGTTCCTATGTTAGGTATTATAATGATATATACGTATATATTTATTAAAAAGTTTTAAGTATATATGATTTTTTTCAGCAAATAGATAGACATAATGTATTCAACAAAATAGAAGTTTAAAATTAAAAATATATCGATACAGCATAACTTGTTTTTTAATCTTGGAATTTATAGTTCAGTATTTTATTTAGTGTATATATAATTTTAGCAATAGAAGGACGAGTTAGTTCAGTAGAAAAAGATATTTTTCTAAATTTTCTTTAAATATCTAATCAAATTTAATAAAAAATTTTTTTATTATTTTAATTCTATATAATTCTGATTAAAATAAAAAATTTTATCAAATTTGATTAGATACAGTAGTTGTTAAGATATTTTAATTTAAAATTAAAAAAAAAATTTTTTACTAATCTCTTTTTTATTGACTTTAACATTTTAAGAATATTAACAGAAATTATAAAATACATATATGGTATTAATATATATATTTTTTGTTACGTAAATTTAAGGTTTTAAGGGTGCAGTTACTAAGTAGGTTGGATATAAAAGCTCAGATGTTAGTTAACATAGAATTCTGAACATTTTTACTTGATACACCTGGTCTTGGTTAATTAGACAGTTTTGAGATATAACAGCTGAAGTGCTAAACATCTATGGTGCAAATTAGTAAACTGTTTTTTAAAAAACATTATTTCAGTATTTTAAACTGTTATTACTATTATTTAAATTGCTTAATGAATAAATTCATTAATTTTAAACTTATATATACTGTAATATGTACAAGTCTATAAAAGTATAACTAACTACATATATAACTTTAATTATTACTTATTAGAGTTGTTGCTCAAATGTTATCCATTAACTATTATACGTATCTGAAGCCTGTGACGCCAGGGAAAAACTAACATTGGATTTTTCAATAGATATTGGAATCGATGAATGTCGAACATCGGTTGATTACAAAATCTCGTTCGCGAATATTCGAGTTTTTAAAATATCCCATGTTACATAAAAAAGAATATATATATTAAATTTATCAATTGTACAGTTATTATTAAATTTATCAATTGTACAGTTATTATTAAATTATTTAATATACAATTTACA